GTGGGGGGGGCGGGGGGGTGTTAGTAGGGTTTAAGGGGGGTGCGGGGGGCTGGTAGTCCCGGGGCAGCGGGGGCCGGTACAGACCGGACGGGGGGTCGTCGGGGGTCAGCAGCTTCCTCTCCGCCACGTCGTGCTGCCGGCGACGCTCCGCCTCCAGACGGGTGTAGTACTCCTCCTCCTGTCTCCTCTGAGGGAGGGACAACCCGTTAGTACGCTCTCATTGGCTCTCACCTCAGCAATGGACACTAACTGACCAATCAGCTACGAGATATACAACTAGGGGGAATATTCAACTCGTCAGAAAAGTTGCTTCCTGCTTTAACACCTTGATAACAATCAGCTATCACTTGTCTTACACTACACAAAGATCTGCTACAAACCAACATGTCTACCAATCAGCTACGAGATACAAATATATTCAACTCGTCAAGAAAGCTCCACTGCCCTGCTGCTACTTCCTGCTTCAACACCTTGATAACAACCTTATTCTGGGATGAAATGCAGTCTTACACTTCACAGAGATCTGCTACAAACAGTCCAACACGTCAGCCAATCAGCTACGAGATACAAATGGGGAGAATATTCCACTCGTCAAAAAGCTCCACTTCTCTGCTGCTACTTCCTGCTTCAAATCCTGGGACGAACTACACCGGCTACAACTTTACATACAATACACAAAGCTCAACTACAGTACAAGCACCAAGTCCAACATGTCGCCTGTCATCACAGAACTGATTCAAACCGTCTCAACGACTTCCAGCAGAAATCTACAAATAAATGCCTTTAAAAACACACATTTCCTTTTGAATAAAATACACATTTTTAAGTGAATTTGGGAAATCTTGCAGTGTGAAAAACACAGATGCGTATTTATTATTATTATTATCAAGCTTGCATAGCTGCATTTTCTAGCTCACAGGATTCATCAAATATCAAAATAATAGGCGACAATTATCCCGTCTATCGGCTAATAACTCTCTCTCTCTCTCGAAGAACCAACATCTCCACACTAACTTTCTGCACATAGAGTAAACCGGACCACCCTGTGTGCCACCATCTCCCCTCTCCCTCAACGCAGCAGGAGTGTGTATGCATGTGTGTAACAAACTACATGTCCATATGTGCCTCAGTTTAACATATCGCTTGTGGGTTTTTGACTCCAGCCCACCCTGTGTGCTGATACATGAATCTGCTCTGGAGGAATGTGTTTATATTTCTGCGTTTGGAGCTCCGGGTTTCTGATGTCAGATTGTCTCCGCGTTTTTTTAATTTGTGGGTCCGTTTCATGGTATATTTCCTCAGAAACACTGTGGATGTTTCCGAGCTGCTCGTGACGGTGGAATCAGCCCAGTGGGAATCTGAAGAAACTGGGAGGGATTAGTGGGTGTGTGGGTTTCTGAGTATGGATGAGGGCGGGAATGAGGCACATGATAGGGTTTATGTTTCTGTGTGTGTGTGTGTGTGTGTGTGTGTGTGTGTGTGTGTGTGTGTGTGTTTGCATGAAAGCATGTGGTTTTTCTTTTGGGAAAAGTGGGAGGGTGGGCGGCATTCCCTACACAGAGTCTCTGGAGCGATGCTGGATGGAAATGGTCACACACAAAAAATTCAAATCATAACTGCTTCCCTCCAAAAGAAACAACTGAAATAACTGAACTTCCTGACACACACCAACAACAACAACAACAACGAGATGGGAGTCCCATGCTTGAGGTGGGAGGGAGCACATAACATGACTCAGCAATACGTCACATAGGGTGGGGGGTGCACAACATGAGGACATGCAATTGGATAATAATAAACAAACAACAATAACAGCTTAAAAACAATATTTCTTTCACGAGTAAAATAACTTAACTAAACAACGTTTGTCATGAAGTACAACCTAGAAAAAGAGGCAGTGTTATTATATACATTTTAAGATTCTTTGTGAGGTTTTTAAATAACCGGTGGTGTGATCGGCGGTCTACAGTTCACAGGACGAATGCACCTACATACAGGCACCATGGACGCGATGATATAAGAAACACTGAATACTGAACACACAGGACAATGATGGCATCACACAACCGGTCATTTGAAACCTCACACACAAAATAATGATTACAATATTACAGATATCACAAGAACATGTGGCTCGTCAAATAAGCTCAAAGCCCTTATGAAGCAAATCAGACAAAAGCATCAATCTAAGAATTCAATGTGTATTTTTTCACAAGTAGATGAAGCAAGTAGAGCTAGCTTACTGTGTGCAGATTACACATTTTAATTGAATTTATAAAGAATAAATATTCAGCAAATTAGTGGATGAGTAACTTTTCAAAGGCTCTGTAAATCCTTGGGTTGGCATCTCTACTTATATATCACCCTGCCAGGTTTTTATTTGATTTATATGAGTGCGTAACTAGGGATGGGTATCGTTAAGGTTTTAACGGTACTACTACTTTTATCGGTCCGGTCTTTTAACGGTACTCTTATCGGTTCTTTTCGAAAAAAAAAAAAAAGGTAAACTAACTAGACAAATTATGAACAAAACTAACATTGCTTTTTATTTAAATAAAATGAATAATATTTCACATCAAAAGAAACAACAACGTTTTAACAAATCATATTAAATAATCTGATGACAGAACTTTAAACAGAATACCTGAAACTTTAACAAAATAAATAACTCAGTTACCTCAATCATTAACCCATGTTTGTATAACTGAGTTAACTCCGTGTGTTGCTGCTAGCATACATAACACCTGACGTGGAAACGTTACTCGTGGATGGGGCTACAGAGCTACTAGACAGACAGTCGAACCCGGTGCATTCCTCAGTCTGCATGTGGAGCACTTTTGCTAAATGTTTAGACAAATTGCTCGTGTTACCGCCCTTACATGATAAACTCTTATTGCACTTTAGGCAACGAGCATCGAATCGAGACGGGTAAAGTTTAACTACACCTCGGAGCGCGTTCTCTCCGCCATCCCCGCCGTGTGTGTGTGTGTGTGTGTGTGTGTGTGTGTGTTGCTAGATATAGCAGCTGCGTGTGTGTAAACTGCCCCGCCCCCTCGCAAGCAGGCGGGAGAGAGAGATCAAAAGTACTAAAAAATAATCATTTCGCATTTTGCAGTCTTTTTGCGTATTAGAAACGGAGTTGGCGAAACTTAAACTGCAATATAATGTTTGTGTAGCAATATTACATATGATATATATTTTACATGTCTCCAGTACCGATAAAAATACCGCTAACGTCGGAGCTTAACGGTACCACGGTCTTTAATAATTCAGCCTCGGGGCCCGTTTAATACCGGGGCTCGGTACCCATCCCTAGGTGCAACTGTCTTGTTCTTTTGGTGGAGGCAACATTTAAACGTCTATTTTAAATTAACACTTGACCATTTTGGGATTCAGTTAGTACACTTTCAGAGGAAGTGGATTTACATACATACTGAACCATTTCTCCAAATGCACTTTCCTGGTTATTAAAAAAACAAAAGCAACGTTAGTTATTTGAACTCTTTGAGAGTGTTGTTTAATAAAGGTATTTCTTTGCATATTTGTACTTAAATTATGTTTATCTTATAAATATGTATTTATTAGATTCTAATATGGTGGTCAAAAGCTAAATCCCCCCCCGGATGAATCAAGTATTGATTAATACAACTTTTTAGGGGCTGCTTTATTACTGGTTCAACCCTCACACTGTCCTGTGACATGGACCGTGTTGTGCAGTCTCATAACAAAACTTTCTAAACGTCCTACAGTCCTTAATGTTCAACAACTTCCAATAATTCAGACGGACAAACGGACCTTTTCCCCGGACTCTCGCTGGGCCTCGTCTCTCCACCTGCGGTCCTCCTCCTGCTTCGCTCGCTCCTCCGCCTCGCGCTTACGGATCTCCTCCAGCTGCTGCTTACGCCTCCGCTCTTCATCCTGCAACTGATCACACACACACACACACACACACACACACACACACACACACACACACACACACACACACACACCC